GGGAACAAGGGGGTGCTCTAATCGCAAACGGCAGGGTGACCGTCGCGTCGTCTCCCCTGACTTCCTATACGCTACGCCACTGCTTTTTTATCTGCTTGCTCTGGACACAGCATTATATTATTATAACATATTTTATTTATTTTTATTTCGTTTTAAAATTGTTCCAATTGTGCAATTATTAACATTGTCTCGAGACACAACAAAATGTTGTATCTTGTTATATTAAAGTCCCATTAAAAAACAAAACCATAAAAATGGCCCAAGGTAGTGAGAGGGATAGGTAGATACAAGGTTATTCAATATAAATTACCCACTCTTTATCATCGTTATTATTACAAAATATGTAATAATACTATACTATATCTAAGACTATAACAATAAATACTAAGATGCAAGACAGAGAAAGAACTTTGTTCACAAATCTTTATAGTTATAACATATAAAAGTGTATAGTTGCAATTAGTCATTTTGTTTATTAATGAGATTAGGAATAAAGTTTGAACAACCAGTAAACTGAATATGTATGACTAAATTATGCTAAGATTAGGTAAGAGGTCTAAAGAATTATGTAAGTGTATTGTTTCTTTTTGTGTTTGTTGTATTATCTGGTGGAGGCGTTATAAAACTATATAGGTATTTTATTTGCAGTATGTTATTTGTTTTGGAATCATCAATGTACCTGTTGCACTTGTAGTAGAAGTAGAAGCAGCAGCAGACTATTAATATATGTGGAACTTCTTTTCTAGAAGGAAAGTTAGTAGGTACTCGACTCATTTATTTTATATTTATACCGAGTATTCTCTGTTTCATGACATTGGGGGTTGCAAAGCTGTATCGCAGAAGAAGAAACAGACTAATAATATATGTTGGAATTCTTTTCGAAAAGGAAAATTAGTAATCAACTCATTTATTTTATACCTACAGTTGTATTTTCTGTTTCATGAGTTTGAGTGTCTGGGGCGACATTGTGATCACCACATAAACTTACCTTCAGTTTGACTTTTATGTCATTTTTATTTGAGACCCACATACTTTGATTTTCTTTTACTATACGGAGAATGGTCGCACTGCGCAGCTTCCTGAGTGCCTTTTAAAAGGAGACATTTTTTATACCTCATCCTTCAATGCTTATTTGTAGTTAAAATGAAAGTTGTAATACATCTGATCGGCCTAATAAAAGTTTTCGTTTATATTTGATCATGTTTTCATGAGTTTTACTGTATTAAATCTTTTCTTTTGACAGATAAGTCAGACTTTATTTTTATTTATTCATAGCCGTATCGTATCTATTTTAGTTGCTTCGGAATTTTGTATTGGTACATATTATAATTTTAGAGTTATATAAAAATAGCAAGTGCATTGGAAAATATTGCAAGCACAAGTACGCAAAAACTATCTAGAGGACATAAAGCATTATCTTTAGGAGAAAAAATATCGTACCTACTAATCTTCGAAAAGACTTTGTTTCACTTTCTATGGATGTAAATAGCCATTAAATGTGAGACCTATACTGAAATATCTAAGCTGACAGTGCATAACATTATTAAAGAAAATACAGCTACTGGAGAAGTCTCGCATACGAAACATCCCCCAGGAAGAAACAAGACCTTTATTAAAATTTGGGTGAAAAATGGAATGAAATAAAATTCCTACACTTATAAAATTGCACTCGGAAATAAAAAAATAGCCCCACTCTTTCAAATATATTATATTTTCATCTGCAAAAAATATTACACAAATTAAATTTTCGTTACATAAAAGGGGACAGATAAAGCTTTTTACCAGTTAAAGACAAAATCAATGCGTGGAGACAATTATTTAAGGAAAATAGCGGACGCAAGAAATCAGCACAAACAGGTATTTTATTTAGATGAAACATGGCTTAATGCAGGATATACAGTAACAAAAATTTGGCAAGATACCTCCATTAAAACTAAAAACAAGCCTTTATGAAATGGGTTTCCTGTGGGTTAAAAAATCCAACAGGAAAAGGAAATCGTTTAATAATAACCCACACTGGAAGTACCGATGAATTTTTGCCAGATGGTTTATTAATGTTCGAGTCAATAAAAACAAAAGAAAGAAATGGATGGCCCTATGTTTGAAAATTGGTTTCAAAACATTATAAAAAAAATCCAGCCAATTCCATTATTGGAGTCACTACCTACAAAAAGATGGAAAAAAGAAGATATTTGAAAATGACTTTATTCTAAAAATACTATCATTCCTTAATCCTTGAAGGCAGAATTACTCGTAATAGCAAGGTAACATAAAAACAAAATCAAAAAATATATTATAGACTAAATGGCCCGAGCAAAAAGAATTAAAATTGTCAGATTTCCTCCTTGTCACGTAAAGTTAAATCCCATTGAACTGGTCTCAATTAAAAGATTATCTTTTTGGAAATAATACAACATTTAATTTCACAGAATTGCGAAATTTGTTTTTGAAGGCAGTTTCAGATTTAAATGGAAAACATTGGAGAAAATGCATTGATCTTATAGCGGATTCGACTGGCTGCATTAATGCGCATTTAGTTCGACTTTTTTAAGTGGTGTCTGTTTGACTGGCAGAACCTAATTAATTAAAAGTCAATTATTGCATTCGACTCAAATTGCTCGGTACCAAGGCATAGTGAAATTTTGGTTTGACTGGTAGGCGCTCTTGCTCAAAGTTCGAATTTTTTGGGACTATATTTTTTTTCAGTGCCAGTGTCATTTTGGAGGTTAGGAATTATTTAATAATTTTAAATATGTTACCATCTTTGTTCCTATTATTAGTGAGAATAGAAAATCTTTGAAATTAATAGATTTAATTTTTGGTTTGGCAGCTAGAAATAAATATCGTTAAAAATTTGTTAGAAGCCTGAACTGTCAAGTGATAACTGTGCCAGTCGAATAACGATAAAGATGCGCTGCACCAATGTCGAATTCTAGCTCGTGCTTGATGTGTGCACTGCTAGATATAAACTGGAATTATAAAAATGCTGCCCAAAATCAATTTAGAACTAAAAGCGCTTTGTAATCGAGCAAGAGCATTTGAGTCGAATCCACTATTAATAAGAAGGTAAAAAATTAACTTTGGAAAGTGTATATAGCAAAGGAAAACTTAATAGATCCTATAATAATAATTCTCAGTACAGATAATGATAATGATACTAGTAGATATGGTGAAGACAGTGACTTTTAAAGATAGTTCTTGAACTTTTTATTTTATTTAATCTTGATTTTAGGTACTGAAATGTTACTTTTAATGCCCAGAGCTTAAAAAAGTTTAATCCCATTAACAACATATAATCCTTCTTATTTTTTGATGAGATTTAATTCGTTTAATGTTAAAGTACAACAATTTTGTCAGAAGAATTAGGTTTATTTTTATTTTTTGTAAATAATATAACTTTTTTTCATTTCAAATTTAATTTACGAAGTGCGTGTATACCATTTTATATGCCGTAACCTTATTTATGTTAGAGAAACTTATTTTGCAAATTACGCCTATGGAATGAGACGTTATATCCCCATGTTTACTGCATTCCTCGTTTATTGGGACTATAAATCTGTAAATTGCAATTATGTTGCACGACAAAAGCACCCATAATGCCCATATACATAATTATCGAAGGAGCCCAGCGTGAGTTATAATAACTCACTATTATAACTCACACTGTTTTTTTATGGATGTTATTAATTGTTCAAAAGCAGTTGAATAGTAATTAATACATAATTTAATTGAAGTAGATAAAAATTTTTCAAATACAAGTTGAATGATTATTACTAAATTTTCTTAAAATTTTGCACGATAGTGTGTTTTTTATGGAATTTTAACAAAATTCAGTATTATCCGCAAAACTTTTATTGTATATATTTTTGTGTATCCGATATTAACGATGATATGGATGATAAGGATGAGAAGTTTATAATAAATAAGCCTGATGACATGTGCGTCGCGAGCGTCGAACGTGTTAAACGCTGCCATTTATGTTCACTCTGACTTCGGACATGTGATTCTAATGTTATTTGCTACATTATTTGTATACAAATTTAAACATAATTCCTATTACTAATAGATATGTTAAGGTACCTACTTTATATTAATTAATTATGGCTAAAATCATTGTTTCTAACATGAACAAAATAACCACGTGTATAAATGTACCTAATTTATGCATATTATATTTTTGTTTAATGTCTGGTAATTATAATAAAAAAAATGTTTTTTTTAGTCATAGAAATATCTACGAGTATTTAACAGCAAATAGTAACAATAAATACATAAATTAATCCAGATTTTAATTCTTTTTGGAAGTAAATTAATAAATCAGTTTTTAAATAACTGTGTTTTGTTATTTAATTCTCTTAATATAATAATAAAGGCCTTCAATATTTAACTTTTCATTTGTTAATACCTTGACTGCCATCATAATACAAATAAATTACGTTTTTTGGGTCAAATATGGAATAAAACTTTTGGGCTAATCTATGACCGAGTAAAACAAGGGTTTAGTAAATAGGATAGTTCTATAGGCCACCAAAAAAAAAACATATCCCACAAGTTTATACTTCTACCGAGAAGTAGCGGTGTAACACAGCATGAAAAACAATAGTACTTCTGACGGACTAAGAATAATAAAGGTCTGTAAATCACACGTGCTTCTTGTGGCAGTCAAGGTGTTAATTGTATCTGTTGTCTTTTGTAGGCATTCAGACAGTGGGTCTGCTAGGGGAAGATACGCTTTAGCTTTTTACCTTCTGCTGTTCACTATTTTATTATAATGAACGATGGACTGAATTGGAAGAGACTTATGATGATTGATGATATTTTTTAAATTTATGAACAGGATATCAAAAAATTATTTTATTTAACTAAATTAATTAATTTTTCTTACATATGATTCCTACCGTTTAAAGTTCTTTTCGGTCGAACGTTAAAATGTTTTAAAACCAACCCACTCCCATCTAATCTAGGTATCAAATTTGAATATAAAAAATAACAAAACTTACGGTTGAATTTTCAGTCATGGCACGAGTTTTCTACCTTCACCTAAACATTTGTTTTTACACTGTGTCAAATTATCGGTTTATTTAGATTATAACTTCTCATCTTGATATTTGTAGGTGGGAGGAAAAATCTGCGTGCCTACGGGTAATAAAATATTCTCGTATTTTGTAGATTAAAGAGATTAAACATTTTTATGGAATTAACTTTTATATAGTCCGTTTTTGAAATTGTAAAAGGTAACAATAAATAAAAATGATTTAAAAACATGTTTTCGTTAAAAATTATAAATAGTTACAAATAGATGCATAAAAATCAAATAGTACTTAATACCATTGGCGTACCTACAGTCTACTCGATAAATTATTCAAGAGAAACTAAAAAAAAGTTAATGACACAATCGGTTTTAAAAGTTCCGTAAACTTATAGGGTAAAATTCCATTAGCTCAGTTCGTAAGAGCGGTGTGGGTAAAAAAATGGATAGGTGGGTTCAAATCCCCCGAAAACAGAATTTTTTTTTAATTTTTCATTAAATTTGTTTTCACCTGAGAGTTCAAAAATAATTTTCATTATTTTGTAGGGGCAATTTTAGGATTTGCTTGGGGATTTTCAGGGAATTTATCATCCTATTTTTTGGATTTTCGTGGTAACGTATATTGAAAACTTAATACATCACAGATGACCTGGGGAAGTGTCTGCATGCGGATGCATGTTTTTCCCAGACGATGCTGTTTGGTGATTTGTTAAAGAATTAAAAAATTTTCCATAAACCAGACTGGATTCTAAATCTTATATATTCATCTTATCGATTGGGAAGTTAGTGGCCAGGGCCTACGAGAGGGGGGTGGTAGCCGGAAAAAAATTCCCGGGGCCCGGCAGCTTTAGGTGAGGACGTTTTATTTTTTACAAGATAAGGATTTTTAATTTTTTTGTTTTTTCCCTTTTTTGTTTCTTTTTCCTTTTTTGTTTTTTGATTTTTTGTTTTTTGTTTTTTTGGTTTTTATTTTGTTTTTTTTTTTGTTTTTTTTTGTTTTTTTTTGTTTTTCTTTGTTTTTTTTTGTTTTTTTGCTTTTTTGCTTTTTTGCTTTTTTGCTTTTTTTATTTTGTTTTTTTTGTTTTTTTTTTAGAAATGTGATATTGAAAAGGCTTAATTTTTTTATAAAAATTGTCGCAAGGCCCCACCTAAAAATTGTCCCGGGTCTGGCTCTCGGCGGCCTTGTTAGTGACCACGTCTCTGAACTCAGCTCAGTTGTTAAGAACGGTGTGCGTAGAACACGGAGAGGTGAGTTCGAATCCCCCGAGCATAGAATTTTTTAAGTTTCCATTAAGTTTCAAAAATAATTTTCATTAATTTGTAGGGGTAATTTTAGGATGTTTGGGGATTTCCAGCGAGTTTGTCATTAAAATAATTATATAATGAGTCATTTTAAATTTTAGTTTATCTGTCTATATACAGGGTGTCCCATTAGTGCGTAATTGTTCATTATTTCAATTTGTGTTATAGACACGCAAACAAGTTTCAAATAAAACATATGTATTTTGAAAATATTTTTGAATATACAGGATGTTGCAGTTTTGCCTGGAAATAAAATTTTTTATTTTTTAAATTGAGTACCCTGTATACAATACGTTCAATTGTTGAAACAGATACTCCAGTTAAAAAAGAACTGCAGTTTACAGCTTCATTTGTAGGAAGTGTGTGTTTCAGCCCATCATACACTTTCCATATCATGTTCTTTTCATCCTTTGAGAAGGGCTTTCGCCGACGTAATTGGGTTTCACTTGGACCCGCCTCTGAATCCATTACTATTGTAACAATATAATTATTCTACTATTAAATTGTTTTTATTAAATTTATAAAGACACCAATATTTTACTATTTAATAAACTTTTAAAGTACCTACCTAATATACTACACAATAAATATAACTCCTCGAATATGCACTACCACTACTAAATTGTAAGGCAGAAACATGAACACCTACTCGTATATCAGAAAAGAGCACTTATACAAAAAAGTGTTTATAAAATATAAAATAATTATCGTAAATAGTTAAAGCGATACAAATCTAACTTCGTCGAAAGTTAGTTTTCACCTGTCTTTGTGCCTGTGCTGACAATATTCAATCTGTAACCCGTCTGTCGTTTATTTACTTGAAACACATTTTAAAACCATTAAACATAGATAACGAAGTCATTAGGGAATAAATATATTCATTTCTTAAAAACTATCAAAAACGTATATTTAACGCATCATCTCTGTTTAAATAAAGATGATGACAAACAAATTTAATAAAGTTTACTATACCTAATAAATAATAAATAATTATTTGGTATTTGATACGCCGCCTATGCTAACTCTGTCGGAATTTTCATTCATAGACAACAGTGTTGATCATGCATATGACTCACCTTCTCCAATATTTTGTCAGAGTATAGATTCTGCATTTTACTGGATGTTCGATGCAATGTTGGCTCCAATGTTTTGCTTGTCGATGGTTGACTTTCTGAATTCAAAATCACAGACGCATCATTTGGCTTGGAAGAAATATTTTTATTTTTGTTGTCAGGTAATATATTTTCGTCATTAACAGGTCGAAATTGGGATGCTGGTGCAAAGTTTTCCAAAGTAAATTTGTCTGGCTGGAAGGGGTAAATACCTGCAGACCTAAACCCAGATATTGCTTTTTCCATCGTCGCTACTTTGACAAAAGCTTTATTGAAAATTTCAGCCAAGTCGTACATTGTAATTCTTTCATGACTCTCAAAAACAAGTCGCATTCTTGATTGTATGCAGATTTCAAAGAGCCGAAAAACATGAGATCTAGAGGTTGCATACGATGTGAGGTATGCGGAGGTAAAGTAAGGAGGACGATACCGGTACTTTTACAGAGTTCCTATATGGACAAGGAAATATGGCTTGAGTGATTTTTCAAAATCACAAGGACAGGATTCATTACAGTTGGTTTAATCGGTTGGGAAAAATGTTGAAGCCAATCCCTGAATAAATTCTCGTTGCTCCAACCTGACACTGAACAAGAAAATAGAGCTCCACTTGGGCTATTTTTCGCCAAAAGGTCTGTCATACGCTTTCGAGGAAAAACGAACATTGGTGCTATGAACCTACCAAGTGCATAACAACAGCAAATTACTGTTATATTTTTTCCTCTCTCTGCTGAAGTCTTGTAACCAAGTTGATTCATTCCCTTTGGAGCCAAACACTTAACTGGTTTCTGAACGACTGTAATTCCGGTTTCATCCACGTTGTAAATATTCTCCGGAGTAAGTTTTTATTTGTTATATACTATCTCTAGATTTGAGAAAAATAATTTTACGGATTCCTGGTTAAAAGCTTTAATTCGATTAATACTAGTGGCCTCAAGTTTACGCAACGTTATATTTGGATGTCTTTCCATGAAATTATCGTACCAGTCTTTCCTAGCTAGTCTTCTTTCCTTATTAAATGACGTGATCTGCCAATTCTTGCTCTTGCTGCATAGTAAAAGTAACCACTACACCCAGGCACATAGGCTGATACCTTTCTTCTTCCGATAATTTTAGTATTTTTCTGATTGTTGATTCCGGAATTTCATGTTCTTTGCCAGCAGATCGTATATAACATCCATTGGAAATTTCTATAATGGCATTTCGCAACTGCTCTGCAGTCCATTTTCCCTTCTCAGTTTTTCTTTGATATTTTTTTGGCATCTAAAATATAATATTTTCACATTAAAAACCTACACACTGATTTTAAACTTTAAGTCTCGCAACTATGCGCACGCACAGTTACCCCAACAACCGTGCGCGTAAATACCCGATCAGACAATTTTTCTAGCTTTGCTTCCTCCAACAAAAAAAAAAAAAATACAATAAGAACTGAAAACTAATAGAACAGAAACATTCAGGGAAGTTTACGCTTTTGTTAGATACCAAATTTATCCAGCTTAAGTAAAAAATAGCGTACTTACGGCTTGTTTTATTCTCCAGCAAAAAAAAGATAATTTAACCTCACAAACCCAAACAACCAACTGTTGGCTTTCTAACTAAGTTATGATCGCAAAACACATGTTAGTTAGGAGTTTGACGGTTTAACTATAGATGGCACTACGTTTCAAATTTCAAACAATAAATATTATGGTGGTATTTAGGTGCGCACGGTTTCCCACTGCCTATATTCACGCGAATTTCCCCTATCTCTAATGACTGGCCTAAAAGTTCATTTGGACGCTGATGAACGAAGATATGATTGTCATAAAAGGTAATCTGTGACAGTAGTTTGAGTTACGTCATATGTGAAAAAACGTATCCTTTGAAATAATCTAGATCTATCCTAGTCCGTTCATTAATCTTGAAATGTTGCACAAAATGACATTTGTCAGTAGTGACGCTTTAAATCAAGTTGATCGTTTAAATCTTGTAAACCACATTTACGAGTAAATGGCATTCTCGCTGCACAAAATTCCTCAAAGCGTTAAAAATTTCAGTTCGTTATTTCCAATATTTAGGACACCTTCGAGAACTAAGCTAAAATATTATACATACATTAACGAACCGGCACAAGTTATAAAACAAAAACAACCCAAATGGGTTACTGCAGAAGAAGCGTTTAAAGATATTCTTAAATCAAATTGTATTGTATCTATTCAAGGAGCCGCAGCGACCCCTTCAGAATTAATAAACGCCATGACAAAAGTTGGCAAATCAAAGGATCTTAAAGGTATAAGAGTGTACCATATGCATACAGACGGATCTCTGCCATATGTTGACGCTTCTTGTGCTGATATTTTTAGGTAAATATTGAGAAAAATTATAATTTAATTTTAGTGGTTTTGCGCAGTGAGTCTTGGATGAGTGTCCTGCTAGGAGATGAACCATGCCACCATGCCACCAGCATTTATGGGTATGACAATAGGATCATCAAAGGAGGCACGATAATATTAATAAATCATTTATTATTTACCCTTGCAAAAAAAGAGTAAATCCATATTATACAATACATTTGGGTGAAAAATGGTTTGATGTTAGGCTTGTTGGCCAATACTGCCACATCAACCAATATATTAATCTGAAATTAAAACTCATTTTACTATTATACATAATATATCTATATATAAACATTTGTAGTTGGAATTATAATTCCAAGTATCTACTAATATCTAAGTATGTAATTATTGTTAAAAATGAAAAATTTAAATTGAAAATAAACAATACATCGAAAGCTAAAAGGGATATAGATAAGAGTATTACTGCCATTCCAAAAAATGCTGTCTCATTTTCTGCTTAAAAGAGATTGAATAGCTGGATTGAATCCACAAGGTGTCCGTATGTAGCCATTTGATATTGAAAATATTTTTTAAAAAGAAATTTTCTTTGTAAATAAATGGAAAGTGAATTGTTGGTTCGAAGGTTCAGATTATGTTAAAATAAAAACAAATTAAAAAGTGAAAGGGATGGTTCAGACAGTCCCCACTTCTGCTATCCATTACATCTAACCGTGTATCAGCACTTTTGCTTCTCTGATTTTTTACCGATGACTTTATAAATATCATATAGCGGGGTTATTTTAGAAATGCGAGGTAATTTTGGAAATTGTGTTTTTCTTATTCAATCTGGCAACGATGTGTAATCATGGCGTGCGACGCCAACGAACGTTGGAGGATTTTCAGAGAAGAGCGCGAAAAGCCAGTCAGTACTTGTTGCGGGCTGGTAAAGGTAAGTTTAGTAGCTCTAGGCGCCGGCAAACCACATGTATTTTTTTTTGCAAAAAAATTAATATGGTATTAATATGGTATTAACTTTCACTACTGCACACTAGTAAAAATGAGTGAGTACAGCTATGGATTTGCCAAAAAGTTTGTGTGGGTGTTGTTACGTATTTTAAGGACAATATACATATATTTAAAAAAAACTATGGGGTTTTTCGGTGAGCGGGGCAATTTTGGACGAGATATTTTTTATTCTTCCAAAATAGTCCCGCGTTTACAAATAGCCCCATTTTCTAAACTAACCAAAGAATTTGCTTTTTTAGGCTAAAAATCTCTTCAGGTCCCTAAAATAAAAATGGTTTGCACTTACGTAAAAACTTTAACCCATTCACGAAATGGTAAAAACTATACCCCGTACAGAAACTATACAGAAGAAGCCTTCCAAAACGCTATATGTGATATATAGTATAATGGTCTCAGCCTTGATCCATCAAGTCTTATCTTGACAGAAAAGGCCGCAATGAACGGAGGTATAATAATAATAATCTACCCGATCGGGATTGGGCTTCAAACTTTTTGAAGAGAAATAAAAAGTCAATATCGAATCGATTTTCTGCGAATATCTCTACCAAACGTGAGATGGTAAATAGGCAAAATTTGGACATTTTCTTTGACAATGCCCGAAATATGTTTAATAACACAGACCCGTCTCTAATAATAAATTTCGACGAAACCAACCTGATTGACAACCCAGGGGCAAATAAATTTATATTCAAGAGAGGCACCAAGTATCAACTCCACGAAGACTGCCATAAGCATAATATATGCAGGAACTGCAGATGGACAACTTTTGCCTGAATATGTAGTCTACAAGGCAGATCATATGTGGGATAGTTGGACTCACTGTGGACCTGGAAGAGCGTGTTACAATCGGTCTCGAAGAGTGGCTGGTTTGATGCCGTCTGCTTTAAGGGTTGTTGTCCCTTATTTAAGAAACAAGGATGGAGCTAAAGTTTGTTATAATCTAGGGATTCAAGATTTTGCTATTTAAGTAATAATCCCAATTTTTTTATTGCAGAGTTAACGACAACCTATCCTCACATTTCTCGCAGAAAGTATTACAAACATGCCAGGAAATGAACATATCTGTTATCTGCCGACCCCCTAAATTAACTCATCTGATGCAACCTCTTGATGTGGCATTTTACGCTCCTATACAGAAGTATTGGCGAGCGATACTTACCGAATGGAAGAAAACAGGAGTGCGTAAAATGTCTACGTTATCAAAAGATGTATTTATACAGCTACTAAATAAACTTCGTCAAAAATTGGATAAAACTGGTAAAGCCTCCGAAAATCTGATCTTGATTTTCCGTAAAACTGGTGTACATCAATTCGATCCTGCGGAGCCAAGGCAACGTTTTTCCCCTGAATCTGAACCTGAAGCAGCAGATGGTACACATAATGTTTCTACTGCTGTGGTTGACATTTTAAAAGAAATACGTCATAGTACAGAAGCACCATCACAACAAAAACAGAGACGGAAGAGAGTTTCAGTAGAGCCTGAAAAGAGTGTGTCAGCCACTGATGTTGTTGCTTCAACCAGTGCAATTCCAAAAAAAAGACAGTTGCTAAAAAATTGAAACTTATAAAAAAGAAATCAGTGATACCATCATCGTCTTCTTCTGACGAACCATATGAACCCGATGAAGGAGACGATAGCCCCAAGAGTTTCGATGACTTGCCAACATTCTCGAAATCCTGGGATCAATCACCAAATAGCAGTAGCAGTGATGATGATAAAGCATCGATACACTTCAAAGAAAACGTACCACCTGCAAATTCTTCGATTGAATTTAAGAAACCGATTGTAAATGACTGGATATTGGTAGAATATAAAAGAAAAAATGTACCATGTTTCTTCGTTGGGAAAGTAGTTTCAAAAACCAATTCAGAGTGGTCCTAAACGGTAGATTTTTTAACAAAATCCTCTAAGACAGAACGATTCCTAACACCAGATGTAAAATTTATATACGATGTTCTTGAAGATCAACACATAAAAAAAAATACTCCAGAGTCCAAAAATAAATGGCACAGGAAGAAGAGTATTTTTTAAATTTAATGAGGATTTATCATCTTATAATTGCCAATAATATCCTATATTTACTACGCAGGTACTTCCTGGTTGAGTGCCGAATTATGCTAAAAGGCTGAAGAAACCTAATTTATTTTAAGTTTACGTTGTTTTTTAGAATTTGCACTTATGTTTCTTAAATGTTTTCGATTTTTTTGTAAGAAAATCAATTAAAATAACATTTTGTGTTTTTTTAGTAGTTTTTTCATCCCTAAATAAAAAACACTCAGGTAGATATATTTTTTTTATGTCTAAAAAAGCCCCTTGAGCTGTTTAACTTCATACTCTGTGTTATTTTTGCCAATTCCAAAATATCCTCGCTCTATAGGGTTATTTTAGACATACCTTCAAAAATTGTTTAAGACCCCTTATAAGAAGGGGTCGTAATTTTTATTATGACAGTATTAGATTGTATGTAGACCTATCCGAACTCGATATGAAACTTATTTACTCTTGGACGCTTTTTATGGTACATCCAAAAAGGTCCAAAGAAAGTCCAAAGTAACCCCGCTTTACTTACGTGTTAATAAGAAATTTTATTTATAGGTCTGGATCATTTTTTATGGGAGCTAATGTCAGAAAAGCTGTCGCAGAAGGACGCGCAGATGCTTACCCAATATTTTTATCAGAAATACCTCTTATGTTCCATAAGAAGATTATTGAGCCTGACATATGTTTGATACATGTGTCTCCACCGGACAGTCACGGATTTTGCACTTTAGGCACAAGCGTAGACTGCGTACGAGCCGCAATGACTGCTTCCAAATGTATAGTGGCTTTAGTAAACTGTCAAATGCCCAGGACTTTTGGAGATTCTATTATTCACATAAGTCATATAGATTTCGCCGTAGAGGCTGATAGACATTTGCCGAATCATGCGGCAAAACCACCTTGTAAAGAGGAGATGCAAATTGGAAAATATATTGCCGAAAAATTAGTAGAAGATGGTTTGTAACAAAAAGGTTTTCTTAAATTAAATATAAAGAAAGTAGAGTATAATCAACAATGAAAAATGTTTGTTTGAATATATAACACAGGATTAACGAACATTGTATTATCTAGATTGAACCGATTTTCAAAGAAGCCGACATGATACTTTGTAATATACGATGCGTGCTTTAATAATGTGTACAGTTAGTCTCAGTCTGTTCAATTTTTGTTGATTGCAAGTATCTACGTATAAGTGTAATAATAATGTAATATTTTTTCTGGGATGTGCCTTATAATATACCCACAGGCTGATTCATAAGGAATAAATAATATTTAACCTGCGTTTTATGGCGGAAAATATACATTTTTGGCTTAATAACTGAATTCAAATGTTATTTCAGTTTCTGTTAAACCAATATAGCGCCTCTAGGCGATATATGAAAAAAGATAGCTTATCAATTTTCTCACGTCAAAAAAAAAAATTGTACCGCTTTTATCTTAATGTGTTAAAAAATAACTGATTGTTTCAGTGTAAATTATTTTTTATAAATTTAACACCCTCTATCTCAATAAGCATTAATATTTGACACTCAATTATTAGGCAAAAAATTATATTATAATCTCTACAGGGTGTCTCAAAAAAGTAGACCAATCCGTTTACCGTTGATTCTTTAAATCAGTGTAAGAAACCTTTTTATTACTGGCGAATGGACTTAGTATCCGTAGCCAAGGGAAACCCAAATCTAATCACACACACACACACATTTTTATTTTTTTTTTGATTCATTATATTTTCGTTGCTTTATTAAATAGATGGCTTAAAATTGGTACACCGGGTTTTTTGGGATAACAAATCATAATTTATGCCCAAATATAGCCTACCTCATAGAGGGCGCTAGTTCTGTATCTGTAAGGTGTGGAGTGTAATCTAACCCACGGCACTTAGGCCTTACTAGGTTCATTGTGCATCCTCCTAAGTAGATAGGCTCCTCCTAGCCCGTGAACAAGCCTACAGATTTAATGTAGTTGACAACGTTGCTAACAGGTGCTTCTCTTATACCGGCCGGTGTTACCCAATTCTCGCCGAACACAAATTTTCAAATAAATGAGAGCGTCGGACAATCGTAAAGGATATGCTCGATATTCTCATCGTCTTGTTCGCATCCTCTGCAGAGTGCTGATTCTGCCAGCGAATGATATGAAGATGCTTCCGTAGTTGGCAATGTTCAGTCAGAATGCCTGTAATTATGCGCAGATTCTGTCTAGTCATAGTTAAGTATTTGTTTGCTGCAGTGTTATCAGGATAACTTAAAAGGCTCCCTGGCAAGTCTGCATCTCCTTGTTTCATCCCATCTTTCCTTGAATTTTACAACGGAATGTTCTTTAATTAGGTTTGTCACTACCGATGTCGTGAAAAGGACCATTTTGGTCTTGGGATTAATAGACAGTGAATGGTCCTTGCACCACTGTTCTATAAATTTAAGAACTACTTGCATTCTTTTGCAGAGAATGTTCTCAAAATTTTCTGTTTGCAGAATAACCAGGTCATCTGCATACGCTATTGTGTAGTGATTGTCATTACTAAGGTGGCTGATGAGGGTGTCGAGGACCATGTTTTACAGTAGAGGTGATAGCACCCTTCCCTGTGGATATCCCCTCACAACAAAGCCTCTTATATTCACATCTTCTACACTTATGTTTATTGCTCGCTTTGAGAGCATGTTGTATATCCACCCATTAACCATATGTGGACCATTCCTGTTTTTTAGTGGTGGATTATCATAGAAGAGGGCGTCTTTACAAAAGCACCTTCTATGTCTATGAAAACACCCAAGGCAGACTCTTTAATGTCCACTGATATCTCTATCCGGCCAGCAACTAGGTAAAGTGCTGAATCAGTAGATCTGCCTGGGGGTGTATGCATGTTGATTTGGGTGTAATGGTGTTGTAATTACCACATCCCTAATGTACCTTTTGCATAGCCTTTCCTATATCTTCATGGAAAACAATGTCAGACTAATTGATCGGTATGTTTTCGGGACAGTGTAATCCTACCTTCCAATTTTGGGTATAAAGACTACTTCTAGTGGTCTAACATCGAAATGTCATCAGGCACTTGCCAGTTTGACTGCGAGAGTTAAAAAATGTTGGTGTAGTACCTTTATTTAAAATCAAAGATTTTTGGTAATGCGCTAGTTCAGTGTGATGTCATTTTGGTTCCACTTACATTTAATTCTAACCAAACTTTTAACATAAACTTCAATAAATTTGACGTATACGTTTTTACTGTTTTTAGTTTATTTCTAAATATTGTTTACAGGTCATAAAAAATAGTTTAAAGGTATGTAACTGGTAACTAAACGATTTAATATTTGATTCGTGTTATCTACTTTATAAAAGTGAAGAAACGGTATAATTTAGGTAAACAAAACGAACAAAACGCATTCAAAAAATCTACTGTCACTTTAATTGTCAGTGGAACCATAAATACATCATCACTGAACCAGCGCATTATATAATCATAAAGTGACTTTCCTGTAGCGTTGTTATCCTTAATGCCTCAATTGAAGTGATGAGCATTTGAGCCACAACCTATTACCAGCTCAAACTTCTGGTTCAGGAAGTATTCAATCAGATCCTTCAACTTTTTGCAGGGTGGTGGCGTCGGAGGTATCAACATGCCAGGATTAATGTTTTCTTTTGTCTCTGGATGGCCGCAGTTAAATCGGAGGTGGAAAAGTGTGCCATTGAATGAGCTTTATTTTTCCTAGAAACGTAAATTATCCTAGGTTGTTTTGATTCCTAATATTCAGGGTTCCTTAATGAGTGCTATTGTATCATGCAGCTTATCAAGGCGGCGGCATAATGTTGACGTAGCCACCCTTTTGTGCTACAAGTTACAATGAATAATGTATACCTCTTTAATTGCTTCCCGATCTCCCATTAAAGTTTGGGAAGCATTTGAGGTTAGTGTTTGACCATCCTTTCCTCCGAAAGGGGGAGGGGGTGGGTCTAGTGTGGCTCCTCAGAGTTGTAACCGATCGCGGCCTTTTCTTGTCCTTTATTGCGTCGTGTTTCTGGCCTCTTGTGGAAGCAGAACTAGCGTCGCTACTCAAAGACTTGATTGGGCTGCTAAGGTTGGATTTGGAGTGGGGGCGTATCCCGCCGGTGACAGTTGTCAAAGCTCTGCCTGCCTGTAGTTTAGCTTTCTTCCTCCTCTGTACTTCAGAACCAGAGATCCTCTCGCCTTTCTGGAGCCTGTCGGTTTGATGTGAACTGCTATGTCCATCCTCGTCTTTTGGAGGAGGATATCGCTATCCAGTCTCCTGTGCTAGGATTGAACTTTGCTGTCTAGCCTTCTTTGCTGGAAGTAATCGTTGACATATAGCCTTTTTGTATTTGTGTGGGTTTGGATCCATAAAGTTCCCACAAGTAGCTAGGGAAAGAAAAGTCGACCGACGCAGAGCCCCGCATGCGTCGTCAGGGCCAAATACAAGAAAGTGTGGCCAGATACCCTCACAGGAACGTTGGCTGCTGCATCTGCCCCTGTTACAATTCATACGTCGGCGCGTTACCTTACACCTTAGCGGTGGTAACCTTTGTAAAAATTCTGAGAGTTTTTAGGCTCTCTTACTCTACTTATGTCTACCACTAACCAGGAAGATCCTGGCTGTTCTTCTATCCACCATCAGGAGAAGCGCGTTCAGTTGGCACTGAACCGCTAGTTGCAAGTCACCTATATTGAACATTATAACCCCAATCGAAAAAAAAAAAAATAATAATAGTAGAGGTTTCTTACACTGACCTAAGGAATCTATGGTTAATGGCTTGGCCTACTTTTTTGGGACATCCTGTAAAATCTGCGGGTAGCATATTACCCATTCTTTATGAATCATCTTATTCTACATACAGAGTGGCCAAAAGTCTGGAAACGGTCAATTATCTCGTAAATTGCTAGTCCTAATTGTACAAAATTTGGGGTACGTCTATTGTAGGATACGGAGATTCCAGATTTGATATTTGCAATATTGCCAGATTTGCCGTTTCTCTTATATTTTTAGTCACTTTGGTTTTTCAAATTCATTTCTGTATATTCAGTCATTATTGGAATATAAATATGAAAAGTTACTGTGAATATATATAAAATTATGTCAAAGAGAATTAATTTTTATTTTAAAGGTTAAAAAACCAAACTAGAAGTGTCTACTTGAGTTTGGAGAAACCAAAAAAATTATTTGAATTTGAACAATGTTCGCAAGTATAAGTGATAGAGGTAAACCTATAGCTAATCCCATTATTTGTGTAAATATTTCTTTGTTGAAAGAGAAGAAATTTTGTTCAAGACTATTTAACTAACTGATTGTTTTCTTGCTGTGCATTAACTTCAACAGTGCCAAAATTTTCAAAAAATGATATATTTGCATAACAAGGTTCAATATAAGCAAAGTGCCATCACAAAGCAGTTAATTTGCTGGAAAAGGGTAATCATGGTGAATGTATAACTTGTGTGTGTGTATATATGACATTATTTTATTTATAACTTTTTACCATGTTTTTGTTACCTAAACTTTTTTGAAGTTAGGGTCTTCCTTTTTAACAAATTCGTGTTTTGTTATAAATAATGGTGTTTCAGGTGCAACATTACAAATGGGCATAGGAAACATTCCGGACGCAACGCTGGCAGCTTTAACCGGCCATAAAAATCTTGGAATACACTCGGAAATGTTTTCGGACGGTGTTATACCACTCGTTGAAAAGGGTTGCATCACAAACAACAATAAGAAAATCTTTCAAGGCAGAACAGTGGGATCGTTCTTGACTGGCTCAGAAAAATTGTACAAATTTATTGACGATAACCCTTCGATTGAGATGTTAGTGGTTGATTACGTAAATAATAATAATGTAATTAAAGCGTTGCCCAAAATGACTGCCATAAATGCGTGCATTGAAATCGATTTGACAGGTCAGATTTGTTCCGATTCGATTGGTACGATGATGTTTTCTGGATTTGGAGGACAGCTGGATTTTCTCAGAGGAAGTGCTGAAGCGTAAGTTTGTTATTTTGTTTAATTTAATATCATTAGGCCATTGGAAAATGTCTGTCTGTATTTTGAACTTAGGCGCAGAAACAGGACATATCCTTGACATGTCTGCGATTAAAGAAAACATCAAGGTTATTTATATCCTCTTAGAATCGTTTGAAATGTCTGGTTTTTGTACTGAAGACGCTTCTACTACTGACTAGACTAATAATAATCATCTATGTTTAACTTAATTTCGCAAAAACATCGACATGTCTAGTCTCTGCATTTAGGGATTCAGTTACAAAGTTAATATTGTTTGGTTGGTATGTTTTTAGTTATGATGGAAGAGGGAAACCCATAGTGGCCTTGCAATCTATAACAGGTAAAGGTTTAAGTAAAATAGTTCCCATTTTGAAACCGGGAGCTGGAGTTGTAACAACTAGAGGCCACGTTCATTACGTAGTTACGGAATATGGAGTTGCTAATCTCTTTGGAAAATCGTTACGACAGAGAGCGCATGCTCTTATTCAAATTGCTCATCCGAAACACAGAGAAGCTCTAGATAAGGCCGCTTTTGATCGTCTAAAGACAAAACCTTGCCCTTAATAATAAGTATCATCCATTGTATATTTAAAATATATTCATTTATTTAGTATTTTGTTACTTATTGGTAATAAATTTGTTAAGGGGCTTAACAAATAAATCTGGTTTCTTTAAAAGATATTTATTCCTTACTAAAGCTATATTCCAAGAACAGTTAATTCCTTTTTTAAGCTTTCTGCAAAATTTGACTAATTTCATTGCTTGTTGGCTATATTGTTATAGATATATTAAAAGTGACCATATTTTGAAAAGTAGAAAGCGTTATAAATCGAAAATGGAGATATTTCTACGAATTTCATTTGCAGTAGTGACGGTTTGGTTCATTGAAGAGCAGAAAAATATATAAAAGAGTGGGTTCTAACGTTACCATAAAAATTTAAATATTTAATTTTTTTCGTTAGACAAAAGCAGGTAGGGTTGCCATCTTTTTTAAAAGTGAAAAAAGGACTACGATGCTGACAGGGACTATAAAAAGCAAAAAAGTCCTCATTCATCCATATGTGAACTTCTAAAAAAAAAGCATCGAACTAAACAAAAAAATCCTCCTTCTCCCCTTGTTGAGCTTCGAAAAAAACGAGCTTAACAAAAAATCCTCCTCCTCTTGTCGTTCTTCTAAAAAAATAAGTTCGTCGGTTGAAAAAAGGCAACAAGCTAAACAAAAAAAATCCTCCCAACACATCCAAGTTCCGAATTTAGTTCCAATCCTGGACAGGTCGTGGACTATCAGTCATCGACCAGTCCTCGAGAATAAGTTGTGGACTGGTTTATTTACGGTTTTAAACTTGTTGATGGGACAAACCTGTAATAAACAAACGCTCTAGACTTTATTGGTCACGTGATAAAATGACAATGACAAGTTAGAAGTTTATATTTTTTAAATTTGACTTTTAAGACTACAAATCAACTTAAATTTGAAATCTAAACAAAAATTAAACACACTAATTTTATATTCACGCGGGGCATAAACAGAGGATAAATTGGTAAATTTGGCTTCACAGAACACATACTTTCTGGCATGGAACGAACATCTCACTCACATCTCATTTCAAATCAAGATATAAAAAATTAAATCTGGACAGCTACATCTGGGATAAACAAACGCAGATGTAGATGTAGTAGATGTGTCCGATGTGGATAAACAAACACTCGAGATGTAAAAAATGGATCCATGTGGATATTCAAACGCGGCAATAATTACCGCATGCGAGATAAGGTTGTCGAATGGTCAAGACCGTTCGTTGCAAATCATTCGCCAAGCGATGCATGCGAGATCATTCGCATACGGCAAAGGCTTTCAAGAATACAATTTTTCTACGCGTAGATGTCACCGCATGCTAGACGATGACGAATGCCGTCAGGAATTAGGCCCCAGGACAAATGTTAAATCGTGACTAGTGGCTTAAAATCGGGACTAAATTGGGCCCAAATTGGCACGGATGGTCACTTTATATATTCTCTTTTTATTTATTTAACGTCGGTTAACGAGTTTTAAAAGCGTTATCTCCAAATATCAGTAATTTAGCCAAATCCTCTGGTTTCCAACCAATAGGAACGATGGCTATATTTACATCTGCTCCAAAAGATGGCACATCCCACGCTAAATCTCGTACTCATTGATATAGCGCCTGCCAGCTGTGGTATACAACTACGTGGGCAATTTGTTTAGGCTTTCATATCGATTACGGTAGCGTAGGTGTCTACGGCGCGGCATTCATTTGCCAGCCAATTTTCTGGTTTAAAACGAGACACGGTTTCGAATCCTACGGAAGACCATGTGAATTTATTTGCATGGTTCTATATGGGATTTGATGGATGCCGTTATTAGCCGAAATTGAATTTCTGTTGATATGGCATTATTAAAAATCGCCATGCTTTTTAATAGTTTTTCGATAGTGGTGGGTGGGGTTTTCGGGTTTTCCTCACCTGTAAGTCAAATGGCACCGACAATCATCTTTAAATCGCCCCGGAGCGCCACAATAAATAATAATAGTATTCTCTTTCCCCAGACAAGCTCAGCTTTTGGGGTTAAACTTCACTCGTAAGGGGGTGAATTAGGAAGAGTAGCATTATTATTATAGGTACGTCGACTCTTCTTGGATACATCCAGTATTAACTGCGGACGACCCTGCTTGATTTCTGATATCGATACACAATAGTGAACTGCTAAGCCGGGCCGCTGCCCTTAGTAAAAAATTAAAAATATTGTTACAATGCGGTAAAGATTGAGACTTTGTTTCTACTGATGTTCGAGCTCTACCTATTGCAATGTAATTTCAATTTATTTTTATTATTTCCTTTTTGTCTTAAGTTTCACGACCAAATTGAGTCTTTTTTGCCTTATACGGCAATTTCTTTAGCTAAAGTAGCGGCTTTTCCTTTGACGGAAGTAGAGCCGCCGAAGGCATGCTGTTTTTTTGTGAACTGGACAATCAGAAATATACAATAGATCCATTTTTATTATATTGTAGCATACAAAAACAAATTGTCTGCAATGTGAATACTTTAGAAGATTTAAAGTTTTAAGCCTAAATGGCTTAAGCATGAAATTTAGTTATGCATATTTTTATATTCAAAAAGTAAATGTAATTAACTGTTTTGCCGACTTTGTGTCTGCCACAACCCTAAAAACGGCCTTGTTTCTATTCTTGAACATGCATTGACATATTACCAAAATTGTGCCAACTTCAACAATCAATAATTTTGTTATGTACTTGTATAAAATTGCATTCGTTTTTTTTTGTTTAAAAGGTCAAAATGTACGCTGTTTTTAACTTCTAATTTTATTTGTTTTGTATTTTTTTTTTTAATATAAAATTAGAGATTTAATATTTCTTTTATTATCTCACTTATAGACCTACATGCTGATTGTCTATCTCTGAATCTGTAATGTGTGGAGAGTGGGTTACCCCACGGCATTAAGCCTTACTAGGCCCATTGTGCATCCTTCTAAGACGATAGGCACCTCCTAGCTCGTGAGCTAGCCTACAGATTTAATGTAGTTGACAACGTCGCCAAGAGGTGCTCCTCTTATATCGGCCGGTGTTAACCGATACTCGTCGAATACAAATATCCTAATAAATGAGAGCGTCGAGCAATCGTAGAGGATATGCTCAATGGTCTCATCTTCTTGTTCGCACCCTCTGTAGGGTGCGGATTCTGACAGCCCCATAATATGGAGATGCTTCCATATTTGGCAATGACCAGTCAGATTGCCTGTGACTAGGTGCAGATTCTGTCTATACTCTATTCAATTTAAACGCAGGTAACGCGTAAACACAATAGCCGCTTGACCACAGCATGATACGCACAAGCCCGACTGGTATTGGCCAGCCCAGTGATCCGATTTTGAACGTTTTCCTACCTACTAGTTCGATGTGCTGTGGTCAAGGAGCTATTGTGTTTACGCGTTACTTCCGTTTAAGTTGAATAGAGTATAGTCATAGTCAAGTAGGTATTTGTTTGCTGTAGTGTTGTCAGGATAACTTAAAAGCTCCCTGGCAACTCTGCCTTTTCTTGTTTCATCCCATCTTTCCTTGAATTTCACAAGGGACTGTTCTTTAATTAGGTCTGACACTACCGATTTTGTCAGGCCAATAGAAGGGCCAGGTCCAAAAAGTATTTGGTTGGCTGCTTTCTTGGCCAGTGAATCAGCGATACGGTTACCTTTCGACGTCGCGTGATCTTTGATCCATCTTAAGGTGACCACGTTGTTGATGGATACTTCGGCCAAAACTTCGTGACATTCTAGTACTAACCCTAAATAAATTCTTGGTTTGTTCAGGGTGAGTAGTGCTTGTCTGCTATCTGTATAGATGAGCATGTTCCTTCCAGTGATATTGTTCCTGGTGATTTCCTTTGCTGCTATAAGAATCCCCGTGAGCTCTGAACTATTGCTTACAGCCCATTTCATATTAAGGTTTAAGGATCTGGAGTATATTCCACATCCTGAGCCTTGTTTTGTTTTAGAACCGTCGGTGTAGATATGAATCGTACCTGTCACTTCCGGATCTTCTATTTGTTCTGTTTTTTTTCTTTCTCCTGGGCTCGTCTGACTATGTGTCTCCAAATAACATTGAAGCCTATTGGCTTATTGTGTTTTACCCCATGTTAGTTCATAGCACCCACTCTGTCACCTTTGTACCTTGTTCAAGTTTGTACAGATCCTTGGGTGAGTGGGTTCTATATGTTGTTAGATCAACCCAGGGTTGTCCAAAAAGAGCCTGTCTTTTGCGATCTAGAGCTTCGCATTCGCACAGTATGTGTTTGGCCGTTTCTGGTTTCTTGTGACATAGTCTCGGCACATGAGTTCTCCATTGTACATGCCAATTTTGTTCAAGTGTCCCTTTACTGGGCGTGCCCAGTCATTAACCCTGTTACCACTTTCAACTGGTTCCTATTCATTAAGAGTAGTTCTCCAGTTCTTTTGGGACATGGTCTGCCTATGAAGGCTTTTCCATGTGCCTGTTTTGGGGTGCTTCCCCAATAGTTGATATGTTGTTCCCGAATCCAGTCGTTTATGAAACCGCCGGACTGTACTTTCTGGTACTCCTGGGTTTGTGTCTGGTTTCGGTGTTTCTTCTGTTCCGCTTTTTGCAAGTTCGTCAGCCTTTTCGTTGCCTTCGATCCCTTGGTGACCTGGCACCCAAAATAGTTTTAGTCTATTTCGGTCTGCCAGTGTTCTTAGTTCTTCGATGCATTCCCATACCAGCCTCGACGTAACTTTCTGACTCGATATGGCCTTAAGTGCCGCTTGGCTGTCTGACATTATTTGAATATGCTGATTTTCGACAGCTCTTTCATTGTTCGTTTTTGCACATTGCAAAATTGCGTATACCTCGGCCTGAAATACCGAGGAATGTATTCCTATAGCATAGCTATGGTTAGTACCTGGGTTTTTGGAGAATACTCCTGTCCCAATGCCTTCTGTAGTCTTAGACCCGTCTGTATACCAGGTTTGTTTCTGTCGTTGGGCATTGGGCTCCCTTATAGTGATCTCCGCTCTTTCCTATATTAAAACCTGCAAATGGAGTATTAAATGAGTACCTCTTGGTTATGTGGTCTGATCTC